GTGTTTCTACGCCTTGCGTACTCTAATCTACACCCTGCGTAGATCATTGAGATTTTGTGTCCAACAATCCTCCTACATGTTGTGTAGGAGGCTATCCTACGGCCTACGTAGGACCAAATTTTCAAAATATAAGACTTAAGTTTTAAGAAGAAAAGTACATGAAGATTTGGGCGTTACAACTCTCCCCCACTTGATATCAGACTTCTTCCTCAAAGTCTGCCGCTGTAAATAGATTAGGATAATGCTCCCTCATTTCGTCTTTGGCCTCCCAAATCCATTCTGACCCCTTCCGATGTTGCCATTGCACCTTAACCAATTCCACCACCTCGTTATGCATGGTCTTCGTCTTCCTACCTAGGATCCCCAACAGTCTCTCCATATAGTTCAGTCGATCATTAATCTAGATATCATCTAAGGTTACTATTGCGGAATCATCAAACAAACACTTCCATAGCTGAGAGACATGGAACGTGTTGTGGATCTGACTTAGCTCGTCAGGAAAATCCCAGCCGGTATCTACCTTGCCTACCCATACAAGAATCCTGAAAGGACCAATGAATCTGGGGCCCAACTTACCCCGCTTCTTGAACCGAATGAAACCTTTCCAGGGTGACACCTTCAGGAGTACAAAATACCCGACCTGAAACTCAAGGTTCGAATGGCGTCTATTTGCATAGCTCTTCCGGCGGCTCTGTGCGGTCTGAAGCCTCCCACGTACCTATTGAATTAGCTTAGTAGTCTTGAGTACCACCTCGGTACTCCCCATAACTCGTTGTCCGACCTCGCCCCAAAAAATCAGGGTCCGACATTTCCTCCCATAAAGCATCTCAAAAGGAGATCGATCGATACTAGTATGATAACTGTTGTTGTAAGGAACTCGGCCAATAGTAGATATGTATCCTAACTCCCACCAAAATCCAATACACATGCCCGAAGCATATCCTCGAGCGTCTGAATCGTCTGTTCGCTCTGCCCGTCAGTATAGGGATGATAAGTTGTACTAAAATACAACTAAGTACCCAACTCCTCATGGAATTTCCTCTAAAATCTGGAGGTGAAACGAACATCCCGATCTGAGATCACTGAAACTGGCACCCCGTGTCGAGCTACCACCTCACGAATGTAGATTTACTTTCCTGAAAATGGGTGAAGTGTGCACTCTTGGTCAATCGATCCACGATGAACCAAATCAAATCAACCCCACATGTCGTCTATGGTAACTTCATAATGAAGTCCATAGCAATATGTTCCCATTTTCACATGTGAATATCCAACGGCTGTTGTCGGGAGTCCTCTGATGTTTATCCTTGACTCTCCGACAAGTCAAGCACCTCTCCACATACCAAGCCATGTCCCGCTTCATGCAGGGCCACCAATAATCAATTCGGAGGTCTCTTTACATATTTATCGCACCTAGTTGAATTGAAAACTTCGACTTATGTGACTCCTCCATCAGTATCTGTCGGGCTCCACAAAAATATGGGACCCAAACCCTCCGATGCAAGGTCAACAATCCCCCGACTATCGTAATCAACAAAGGCCAGCTGACCCACGATGCGCTCACTCTTGCGGTGCTCTTCTTTCATAGCCTCGACCTAAGCCTCACGAATCTGCACCAGCAATGGGTTAACAACCATCATCCTCAAACATAGATATCGAATAAATGCACTAGTCACCTTGTGACTCAGCGCATCGGCCACCACGTTGGTCTTCTCGTGGTGGTATAAAATCTCGCAATCGTAGTCCTTCACTACATCAAGCCACCTATGATGCCTCATATTTAGATTCAGATGATCCATCAAATACCTCAAGCTCTTGTGATCTGTAAAAATGGCACAAAGTACCCCATAAAGGTAATGTCGCCACATCTTGAGGGAGAAGACCACAGCCCCCAACTCCAGATCATGCGTAAGGTAATTCGTCTCATGAGGCTTCAACTGCCTCGACGTATAAGCAATCACATGACCTCGCTGCATAAGTATCGCACCCAATCACGTGATCGAAGCGGCACAATAAACCACAAAGTCATCAACACCCTCAGGTAGGGTCAGAATCGGAGCCTCGCATAATCTCTGCCTCAGAGTCTTAAATGTCACATGTTGTTCAGGCCCCCAACGAAAGGTAACTCTCTTCTTCGTCAATCTGGTCAACGGAACTGCGATCCTAGAGAAATTCTAAATAAACCTCCGGTAATACCCTGCTAGTCCAAGGAAACTCTGAATCTCAGATGGAAACCTTGGAACCTCCCACTGCATGTAACGTCCCAAAAAATAAGACCAAAAAATATGTTTTTTTTAATTCATTCAAAACATACGATAATGATATCATAACAATCAAAAGTGTATCATAGCAACATTTTATCAGAATATAAATTCCTAAAATCACATAATGCGGGAAATCATAGGTGGATGCAGTGCGATCAGGCGAGGCCCCTCTCCTTCAAGCTGGAAGTACCTGAAACATAAACTGAAAACCGTAAGCACAAAGCTTAGTGATTTCCCCCAAAATACCCCATACCATACAAACATATAGTCAATCATATTTGGGTGCTTGCAGTCCCCTTCGGTCTATTTCAACCAGATACAGTCAAAGCATATCTGGGTATGAGTTGCAGTTGAAGATGGGAGGAAGTTAGCTAAGGAGTATGGCAGGGTTTTGATGAGGAAACATCGAGCAAGGCAGGCAGCGGAGACATGGTTGTTGAAGTATAAGAAGGAGGTTGTTGAGGCGTTGTCGGAAGGTTTAGGTTTGAGAGAGGCGGCGCGTTGGTTTTCTAATTTGACTCCTTTTCCGGTGAATAGGTTCATGGCAAAATTGATGCCACCCATTGAAGGGTATATTCAGAAGATCAATGAAGCGGCCAAGAGACAGAGCTCACTTAAGGGGAATGAGGTTAGTATGAAGGAAGAACTGTTGGCTTTCTTTCTACAGTTTTGTCCATTCATCATCAACTCAACTCTGCAGTTTTGTCCATTCATCAACTCAACTCAACTAGTTTACATTAGATAGAGTAGAATAAATTAACTTGTTCAGCTTTCCTTTTTCTTTTGATCGTTGAACAACAACAAATACCTAACCAATTCATCTATGTCATTTATGGATCATGCATCGATTCCAACAACAAAGAATGTATAAAATAACTATCATAATCTGAATCCAAAAAATCGGATATCCAAAATTTCGGATAGGATATTTATGAACACGACAAAATTGCGGGTCTATTAAGAAACATATACGCCTAAATTTCTAGTTTTTGTTTTTTCCGCAATATGATGGGGAGCTAGTGATATTTGTCGCATTCAAGTTAGATATTTGATAAGATAGTTGTATATGAGGACATATTAGTTTACCAAACATTTATGCCTTGGGACAATGTATCAAATTGTCAAATGTCAACCCAAACCTCTATCTATATCAATTCATATTTTATATCCGAAAACAAAATATGCAATTCAATATTTATAATTTTTTACATGAAATTTTGTACTTTGATTGTTTTTGTTTTAATTTGTTGAGTATGTATATTCTAATTATAACACTTTAACATACATAAAGTTTGTTAATATATAGTAATTGTGGATTATTTATAAATAAGATTTTGTTTGATTTGGATGTATGTGGACATCAATCAAAGATCGAATAAATACGAACAAAAAGTAATAATAGAGAGAACTTTCTTTTTTGAAGTGTTAGCAATATTGAAATAAAACCTCACAAAAAGTTTATTTGATTTATATGATATACTATCTTTTATGTGTTAGGTTTGTCGCGTTTCTAGAAAGGAAGAAGCATCATCTGTGATCTTGATAGACTCGTTGGAATGAATATCAACACTTAGACCGGTATATATTTTAGTTTTTTTTATGGATACGAGGGAAAAATGTATATATGGATATGAGAGGGCAAAAAAGTAATTTGACATAGGTGTAACTACAAAATTTTAACATAGTTAATCAAAAGGATCCGTAATTGGGAACTCTTCGGTAGAATTTAGGCATCATAATGTTATTACCTAAGATGTATGAAGTATGAACGTTGTCTTTTTTTATAAAAATGAAATTGCAATCCCCAAAAAGTTAACAATGCAATTTGTTTTTCAATCTCAATGTATTAGTAACTGCAAACTATGATCGTGAAAGTATATTATGAAATTATTATCAAAGCAATAGCATAAGGTCTCAAAGTTATGAATAGCAAATGATAATCTGAAATATTAAAACATTATTGATATCTTATGCTCAATTTATTTATATTTTTAAGATAACCAAGCGCTTACCCGAAAGTTTTTCCCGAGATAATACATTTATAGTCTATAGAGCATATATTAGCATATATTAGTCATGTTTATTTCGGATCCTGTTTTTTTAACCTTTCATACATCAATTTATATGTTATTAATTCAATAGTATACTGTATAACTATTAAAATTTAGAAGTTTTTTCGCCAGGTATATCTATAAATACAAGTAGACATCTAACACAATTATCATATCGAATAATAAAAATAATCACATATTGGATTAACAAACCATAAGTATTATATATTATACAACAATATATTATCTTCTTATCATCACAATGGTTCCAACCCTTTAAAATAAACATCATGAGTCAACTCATTCCAACAAACCCTTTAAATAAACATCTAGAGTCAACTCGTGCCAACTATTTTGAGGTTTTTTTCTCATCATGTTTTAAACGAGCATTTATTTAGATGAATTTAAAAATATAGACAAATTTTTAATTATCTAGTCATTTTTAACCAAAAATTAAGAGGTTATAAATTTTAGCCATCAAAATACTAGATGATTAAAAATCACTTGCCATTTTACCTTAAACATTACCTAAAAATTCACCATTGTGTGAGCTATGAAATTGGTCGGTTTTGACACATGGACCTAAAGTATATAATTCCTAAATTTGGAAATAATCCTTCTTTTTGAATTTTCAAGTCGAAGATCTTTACTCTCTTTCCGACAATATTCTTCCGACAACTTTATAAATTTTGTAATATTTCATGTTTTATTCTTTTTTGAAATTCATTATAAATGGTCCCTGTGCTTACCCAAAATCTGAAGTTTAGTCCTCATGGTTTAAAAACCTCATAGATGGTCCCTGTGTTTTCAAAACTTTTGATGTTTGGTCCTTTTTGCTAACTCCGTTAAGTTTGTCCGTTAACTGAAGGGTATTTTCGTCATTTCACCACCACGGGGACCATTTATGATGTTTTCTCATATTTTTTAAAAAAAGAAAATTTAAACATAATTAAATATATAAAAGCTCTCTCTCTCTCTCTCTCTCTCTCTCTCGACAAACACATACATACACTAGATCCCCACTATTCTTCCTCAGCCTAACCATTCACCTTCATAGATCCTTGTTTCCCAATCTAATCATCCATCTCAATCTGGTGAACCAAACCTCCCACCATTTCCGTTTCCGGTTCCCACCTCCTCCGATAACTTCATCGCCTCCAATGTCCAGTGGCCCCGTCTGAAAGCTTCACCGCTTCCCCATCATTGCTTGTCGGATATCAGAGCATCATCAGAAATCTCTCTTCATCCTCACCGAATTTCAAGTCAGAAGCCTCTCTTCATCCCACTAGATTTCAATCTGGAAACCACTTAAACTCTCTTCATCCCCACCGGAAAAACCTCCCAAGATACCAATGTTTTTGTGGCGGTTGTTATGTCTGGTGGTGTTGTGAATCTGATGGCTAATGGTATCGGTGGTGGAGGGTTTATGGTTGTTCGATCTGTGTATATGTTGGAAACCCTAGCATTTGATTTCAGGGAAACTGCTTCGGCGGCTTCCAAACAAGTTTAATCGATTTCATTCAATGGGGGGTTTTGCCTAATTTTGTTTTCGACTCGTTGAAGCACTGATCTCCGATTTCTTACATTTTTTGCATCTGATAATTTTGAAGGTCTATGTTCTAGTGTAGTTGATGAACTGTGATTGGTTTAATGAATGGGATGGTTGTTTTTGCTCATTATTGATTTGGTATTCACATGGGAGAAAAAATGAACAATTTCAATGAAGAAGATGAAGAATACGATATTAGTAAAGATAATGGCGGTGGTGAAGGTTATGTGGTGGTTTGGCAGGTGGAAGTTAACGATGATGATGGTGTTTTGTAGTGCTGGAATGGAGAAATAAGGGTGGTGATTTGGTCTAATGATAGCAGTGGTGATGTGGATGGTGGTGGCGATGGTGGTGTACGAGAGAGAGAGAGAGAGAGAGAGAGAGAGAGACCTTGGATATTAAATTTAATTTTTAAAAAATAAATAAATAAAAGAAAGGAAAACCTCATAAAAGGTCCCTGGATAGGTAAATGACGGAAATACCCTTCATTTAACGGTGGAAAGTTAACAGAGTTAGCAAAAAGGACCAAACATCAAAAGTTTTGAAAGCATAGGGATCATCTATGACGTTTTTAAACCACAGGGATTAAACTTCAGATTTTGGGAAACCACAGGGACCATTTATGATTTTTTTTCTTCTTTTTTTAATAGGTTTTACACATTTAGGATATGTTTATATATGATTTTTAATTAAAAAGTGGAAGTGTTTGAATTTTTTTAGAGGAAATCGCACGTAGAGGTTAAAGTCGCAAGTGTTTTAATCTCAACTATGAATGTACAAGTCATTGATACACACCTTCTCTGTTAACAACTTATACATTCGAAAAAAAAGAGAATTTCATATATGCCCCTCTTAAACTTCAAAATATCATATTTGTCAGCTTAATTTCTTAATATCATATTTGCCCAAATCCTTTTTTATAATGTTTTTAATATTTTATAATCATTTTTTATACCTTAGAATTATTATAATAATTAAAAATTGTTGGAATGTCGCCCTCTTGACAAACAAAAAAGATTCATCTTCAACCCTCTCTATGGAATTTATATTTTGATTGTTTTGTTTTGTTGTTGTTGATTATTATCATGTTGTAGATAGAGGATATTTTAGATATTACCATTGATATTTTGATGTTTAAAAAGTACATATACGATATTTTGATATTTAAGAATGGCCTATATGATATTTTGATGTTTAAAAAGGACATATATGATTTTTTTGAAATTTTATGAAAGGTAAATATGATATTTAGAAATTTTATGAAGGGTAAATATGATATTTAGAAATTAAGTTGGGTAAATATGATATTTTGATGTTTAAGAAGGGCATATATGAAATTCTCAAAAAAAAAAAAAAAAAAATCAAACAAGGGAAAATCACATGTGGCTTTTAGCATTCTGCGATTTTAGAATAAAATCGGAAATTTTTTTTTTTTTTTATAACTACACAAATATTGGGCGGCTATAGGCAATCTGTGATTTTAGAATAAAAATATGAAAAAATTATTTTTTTATAACTACATAATATTGGGCTGGATATGGACCAAAAATAAGACGCAATTTTAACGGTTATTTAAGAAAATTTTATTTTTTTGTTTTGGCTAAATTTGACTAAATAATTAAAGTTTTTGGTTATATATTTGTAATTTTTCCTTTAATTAAGTTTCAAAGTAAATTCAAAAGTCAAAAGTCAGACCAAAATGCATCACTCAATCTCTCTCTCCATTCACGCCAACGAAGATGATCGGATCGGCGAGCTCAACGACGACGATGGAGTTTTAGACCTTGATTTCAGTTTCCGAATTTTATAAGCCCACAAATTTCATATATAAATCGCAACACGACTTCAAGAAGAACAATTAAAGCCAAAGAAGAAAATATATTTACGAAAACGATCATCTGTAACGTATTTACAGTAATTTCTATTCAAAATTTCATCAAAGATGCTATAAGATTTCCTATCGGCGTTTTTCAATACAAAAAGTAAACGAATCTACAACAAAAGATCCAATAGAACCAACAGGCAAAGGCAAATCCACGTTTGAATCGAATAACAAAACCGCTTACAGTAACCACCGGAGCTCCGACCTGTGCTTACGCTCCCCTCACGGTGACCTTCCAGCCCTGCCGCCACCGCCGGCGGAAC